CCCTAAAACTCCAACAGGAATCTGAGCAAACACTCCACTGTGAGCTCTTTCAGGGGATTCCAGAGTTTAAAAGTTGAACTGAAGGACAGTTTGTGCTAGTTTGTGCTGGTTTGTGCTGGTTTGTGATGTCTCCCATAGCAGCGCTCCTGCAGATCTGATGCTGCGTGATGTTCCCCGTATTCCCTCATTAGCAGCTTTATTATCTCTCTGTCTCCTGAGGAACACCCACGCTGCAGCAGCCTGCTGTAACGTTAGATGAATCAACGGAGCATGGTCAGATCACACTGACCCCCGGACCTTAACACGCCCATCGGACCACCTGGGTAAACGACTCTGTTTCAGTTTCATTCAGCAGAGAGTGCCTGCAGCACGCCTGTGTTGTGATGAGCTGTATGAAAGTGTTAAGGTCTCATTTAGAACTAGACCATGTGAACTGGGCAGCCATGTTACATTTCAAATATCTGTGAATCACTGTATACAATAAAAAAATAACAATAATATTATTATTAATAATAATTATTATAATAATAACAATTGCCATCATCATAATCAAGGAGCAACATACAGAGGGTCCCTGGGGGATCTGGGACTCCCTATTTAACCCCTTTGGACCCCCTGAATGTCTCGAGATCAAAAGTCTGGGGCACTGCTGAAGCACTGCTCTGCCTCAGGGTGGGGCTGTATCAGACTGGTTTACCCAGTTGGTCCTTCATAGTCTAGAAACTGTAACTCTGCCTGGATTCCTCTGAAAAACTTTACAATGTGCTGCAGCAAATCTGTAAATCTGAAAACTTCCCCAGTTTCCCAAGAGTTTGGTGTTTGGTAGGAGATGAGTAAGATCTCAGTTAAAGCGTTAAAGGAGCAGTGAGAGGAGGAGCAGTGAGAGGAGTAGTGAGCTGCACTGTCAGATCTGTGAGAGATGCTGAAGCTCAGGATGAGTAAAAATCTCTGAATTAAAGCTTATATTCAGTGACTGCATTAAAGGAGTCATCAGACGTTGTTATGTAATGATCAGAACAGGCCTGAGGGGCTGCAGCTCTGCACCACAGCACTCACACATGCTTCATCACAGAAACACTTACTGGAACATCTACTTTCAACACAGTATTGATAAATATTGATATATGTCTCAGTATTAGATCAGTGAATGCTCATGAACAGTATATCAAACTCTAATGATCAATAATTAGTGATATATTGCCCTATTTCAGATCAGTAAATGCTCATATACAGTTTAGCAATCTCTAATGATCAATAAATGATCTGTACTCTACTGATATGTAGTCCATATTCACATCATTAAATGTTTATACACAGTATATCAAACGTCTTCTCAATAAATACTGATAAATTAACCGATTTCAGATCATTAAATGCTCATACACAGTATATCAAACTTGAATTATCAATAGAAACAGATATATTGGCCAATTTCAGATCAACAAATGCTCATTTATAGTATATTAAACTCCAATGATCAATAAATATTGGTACGAATATCACAGATTATATCTTTATTATAATTTATAATTACAATATTCACTCATACTGTGTACATTCAATATCAGCTTAATAACTTTTTGATCTTAAAAAAAATTAACATCTAAGAGAGTCGACAAACACTCTGTGATGGAAAAGTGACGTGACGACACATCATCAGACTCAAACATCAGAACTCAGAATCCAGTACGAGCTCTGATACTGATCAAAAAACATTCAAACACAGACGCAAAAAGATTTTAAAACAGCATGAACTGAAATTAAACTGATTACCCAGATTAATTAAAAACAAATTTTCGTTCCCTTTTTATTTCAGTCCGGCTCATTCTTCAGAGCCGATCCAGTTTAACCCTCTGAGGTCATTCTCTCTCGATTTGTGCATCTCTTCTTAAACTCTCCTTTAAAGGCTCTTCATATAACATGATGCTCATATGTTTCATATCAAAATGCTTCATTATCTTCATCACTACTTTCCAAAACCGCTGCAGCAACTTCAGCAGCTGTAAACTCTCTGCCCACCATTTCACATGTGTCTCCAATGTGGACTGAATGAAGAATGAAGGGTGTCCGGCATGATGGGTCAGTCTTTAGTAATGTCCTTAGTGTCCATTGGTCAGTTTCACAAAGAATGTAGACGGACACTTGAATCCAACAGTTCCACATGGTGAGAGGCAGATGACGTGTATCTCAGCCCCTCTTCATAGCCTCATAACTCCAGATGTGAGTCACGTATGAACTTGTCATAAGATGGAATGGAAAGGCTGACTCTACAGATTCAGGGAATGTTTGAACTGGATTTCTGCACTGGATTATCACAAAGGTACAGACACAGATATAAAAACAGAGAATTTGGTGAGTTTGTGGACCCCTGAGGTTTACAACGGACAAATTAATAAAATAGATATTTCAATCATATGAGCATATTCCAGTAATATCAGTAATATGAGCATACTGCACAAACACAGTTCAGACGGAGCTTCAGATGGAGCTGAAACTATTATGTAACTAGACAGAAAAAGAAGAAAATATAACCTTACTACTGTATGAGAAACTGACAGAGAATACTGAGGATTGGTACCAAATAGCAGGCTTTCAATTAAAGAGGAACTCCACCATTTTTTCAAATTTCCTACATAATTAATTAAATACTTAAGATGTAAACAGAGTCATTCAGAGTGGTTTGGTGTGAAATACTCTGTTCTAGAGAAACTCAGAATTGTTCACAGTGGTGGTGATAGGAACCAGACGTCCACCTCTGAAAGCTCCCTCACAGAAAGTTATTACATGAAATGGTTATGAATTCACTGCCTGATGACTGAGACACTGGTTTATGATAGTTTTGAGGAGTTTTAGCCCCAAAATCCATTCATGGTGGAGGGATACATGCAGAGTGTTGTGAGGCAAAATAATCTCTAAAGAAAACTTATTATTTTTATTAATAGTTCTTCAGATTGATGGAGAATGTCCTGTATAGGGTTCTATATAGCACCAAAAAGGGTTCTGCTATTGTTACAAGCTTGATATAAATAGCAGAGCCCTTTGTGGTGCTATATAGAACAATTTTCAAAATCTACAACACGTTCTCTGGCAATCTGAAGAGTCATTTCAACATGCAAAGAACCATGTGAGCATGCAAATAATTAACCATTATAGAACTATTTTCTTTACTAAAGACCCTTGAAGAACCATTTTTGTGTAGAGTCATTCAATTCCTTTACAAAAGAGATCCATCTAAACCTGAGATAAAAAAAAAACAGCAAATAATTTCCCAAAAATTTATATCAGTATTTAATAAAAGTTCATACTTCTTCATTTGACAATCTTTTTTTAATATTTTGCCTCTCATTGACCTGGGTATTATGGATCCGTCCACCATGAATGGAGTTTAAGTTCCCAAAACTATCATAAAACATTGAATTCATAACCATTTCATGTAATAACTTTCTGTGATGGAGCTTTTAGAGGTGGATATCTGGTTCCTATCACCTCCACTGTGAACAATTCATACTCAGTTTCTCTAGAACGAACCGTTTCACATCAAACCACTCTGAACAACTCTGTTTACATCATAATGAGTTGGTGCATGTAGAATTATGCAGGAATTTTGAGAAGTCAGCGGAGATCTCCTTTAAGATTTCTAGGAATAGGCCTGTGTTCATTGACTCATCAATGCTCACCTCTGAAGTGATTTTGTCCATATGTTCTCTGAGCACAAATCTTTTTAACAAAATAATAGAAAATCAGAATTTGATTGTGAATAAACATAAAAAATGTAAATCAGAAAAATAAAAATGTGTTAGATGTTTGTTGAAGTTGTAACGACACACAATTTTATCATTTTAGACCAATCAGAACACATTCTGTGGCGTTTTTCTTCATCATACTAGATTGGACATGAATGGGTTAATTTTCTCTGCACTCTTTTTTTGATTAATATGAGTTATTTTATCACTTTACTGCAGCTGTGGTTCATGAAAGGCTGTACGAGTAGCAGCAGTGATGACGGTTAGGTCTGCAGATCTTTGGTGGCTCTGCTGCTGAGAGGCTGAGCTCCTCACTCTGCTACTGAGCACACTCTGGAGAAGTTCTTAAAGGATTTGTCTTTAGCTCCAGTAGAAGTTCCCATCAGCTCTCGGAGAAAGGCTGAGGTGTGAAAGGAGGCCATGAGAAAAACGAGTGTTGTTTTTTATGATTCAGGCTTTGATTAGACTTTGAAGCTGATCTAAAAATATAAACACAGAAGATGTGAGTTCCTCAGTTCACCCAGCAGTGCTCTAAAATTAGATCACATCCTGTGAACTAGATAAGAGAATTTGATACTGAGATTTCAGTGGTGGTTAAAAATGATGCGCATCTGGCCTCAGCGCATAACAGCATAACGTTTTACTGACAGCAGCTTAAAGCCAAATTTCAGTTATAACTCAGATTTACCTTAGCAAAGACTGGAGTTAGCATCTTTAATTTTAGCACTGGAGCCACAAGGCTAATGTAGTTAACAAGTAATGGAAGCGTATACCCAACCAATTAGTATGGGGAACATCTGAGTCATTATTTGCAGCGTTTCCGACACCGAATGACACATTGTTGTATATAAAAATGGACTAAAGTACAGACAACACTAAGAATTCATGGCTGCTGCTACTGTTTAAAGTTATGCTAAAACAATTTGTCCATGTTTATAGATAAATCAAGCTGTTCCAAATTCTTTATTCCTGCTGCTCCGTCTTGGCGACACTCATTTGGGCCTCGGACCTGGATTTACTATAAGGCTACTTTGTGACACCCACTGTAACAAGCGCTACATAAATATGATTGAATTTAATTTTGAAAAATGCAAAATGACAATAATTATTGGAGACAACTAGTCATGAAAAGTGTCTCCAACAGCTAAACAAATAGAACTTTACAGCCAACACATTGAACTGTGGGATACAAACTTTGATTTGTTTAATTTTTTTTTCAATTTCCTAAAATAGAACTTTAGAACCAACGCACTGAACTGTGGGATACAAACTTTTTTATTTATTTCAATATAGTTTTTACACATTTTTTTGGTTAATAGTGCTGCCGTGTGGTATTAAGAGAAGGATGTGTTTAGTGTGCGTTTAGTGTGACACATGTACACAACACCACAAATTTGGGAGGGTCTTTTGTGTCCGGTGATTGGCCGGCTATATCCAGCGCTGAAGAACTAAAGTGCAGTGTGTTTCGGTCAGTGCATGTGGAACAAAAGGGCTGGAATAGAGTGGATCATCAGTGAAGTGACAGTTGCTCCTCTGTTTTGTCCTTCGGTCCGAGTGAGGGTGCGGATCTCTGTCTGAAGCTTATGGATCTGGTAGAGGAGCTTGCTTGGTGACTTTGCAGACCTGTTGGTCATAGACGTTGGCCAGTGGTTCAGTCAGTACCCTGCAGCGTAACCTCCCTTTCGGGGGTCAGACTGGGCCTCCAGGAGCTCTCCCTGTCTTCGTATGGCCTGGACTACGGCGCCAGACGATGTTAGCTGCTCAATGATGTGGTTTTTCTGAGCCAGACCGTCTGACACAGCCTGCAGGGGGACACAGTCACATACACTGAACTACTGCGCATGTGAACAGGACAACAGATAAGAGAGGAAGGAAAATAAGAGCATGGTTCTCAAGAAGAACACGGGTTCTGAGTCAGCATACATGCACTAACAGCTCTATTAACCCTGTAAAGCCCTGTACAGATATGACCCCTATCTTATCAGTGTTGCAGTATACAATATCTGTCCAAACATATCCCGACAGGTGTAAATTCTGCTACTCTAAGGTCACCCATGGCTGATATAGACACGTTTTTAAATATGAAATGCCGTACAAATAGAGGACTTTCTACTTGAATGATATTTTACTGAGAGTCTCTCTACTTTCACTCCAGTATATAAGTTGTGTACTTTGAGCACTTCTGTTTGGAACAGGCAATGATGAAATAAATAAAACGTTCCGAACATTTAAAGGTGCAGTATATGATTTAAGTCCGATACACTTTTTGTTAAATTCAGTGAATATTTCCTCACAGTCCAATATCTCTGTTCTGTTTGCCTGCTGGAAAAAATCCAATGTTTGTACACAGCCCTGGCTCTGTAAATGCGAAATGAACAAAGTGGCACAACACCACACCACCCAATCAGTTACAAGGGGCTAAGAAGGAAAGATTGCAGAGAAACAGCCAAAGAGGAGAAGATCTGAACAAAGACTGAGAAATAGGCTCTTAGATCAATTAAGGGCCAAAAGATATGTTAACATTGAGGTGTTTCAGCGATGAAAAGAAATCTGAAAGTTAATGAGGCTGAAGTTGGCTTCCTATTCACATTTTTTTCTTCCACCTTAAATTGCACAGCAGGTTCTTTTTGATGCCTTAGGTACATGAATGTAACTGTTGCACCATTTAAGGTGGAACGGGAAAATTCGAAGAAGACGCTGAGGCACCTGAACATAGCCTAACTGTTGCAACATTTGAGGTGGAATGGGAAAACTCGAACAAGAAGCTAGAAAAAAGAAGCCACTTCAGCTTAATCGAGAGCCGAAAGGCATAAAAAGGGATGAGGAGGCTGCTCTGTTTCTGCTTGACCGCTGAGCAACATTAACTTATTTTTGCTGTTTCACAGAACCAATAGGTCAACATTGTTTTGTCCTGTTTGCTAATGTTTGTGATAGCAGCTGGTTAGCTTCACAACAGCTACCATAGCAACAGGGATATAAAGCCCCCAGGATTGGAATGTGGAGTAGTGGAACTGTGTTCTCTGGAGTGATGGAGCTCCATCCAATACTTTTGGGTGAAGTTGGAGTGATCCAGAACTGACCATCCAACATCAGTACCTGACCTCGCTAATGCTGAGTCAAATCCTCACAGCAATGTTCCAACATCTAGAGTAAAACCATCCCAGATAAGTAGAGGTCGTTGCTGCAGCATAGGGGAACAATCTCCCTGTTAGTACCCCTCATTTTAGAAGAAACGCTGGAGCTTACAAATCTTTGGACAGAATAGTGTTTAGGCAGCTGGAATTTTTCCCTGTTTTTACTAGAATTCTCTCAGAAGGTCCTGTAAGTGTTGGTGTGTAGGCTGCAGAAACACTTCATTCTAATTCATGCCCTAAAACCCCAACAGGAATCTGAGCAGAAGCTCCACTGTGAGCTCTTTCAGGGGATTCCAGAGTTTAGAAGATGAATTTAAAGATTTGTGCTAATTTATGCTGTTTCCCACAGCAGCACTCCTGCAGAACTCATGCTGCTTGATGTTTTGGACATGTAGTGCCAATAGTGCCAATTAAAATTGATTTTAGTTTTGGCTTAGGCTTAGATTGGGTCTGGAAAATTTGTCCATAGTGTATTCTTGGTGAATTTCCTCTCCTACCTATATATTTTCATGCGCCAAATTTGATTTGTATTTTGTACCTTCTGAGTTGGCTAGTTAGCTGATATTGTCAGTGTCAACTATCACTGCCTTTGCTACCCTAATTTAGTCCTGTGTCTAACACAATATGGCAAATCCACCCACCGTATCGAAGCCAGGCTCCAGCACAGTGACGTTTGGGCTGAGCTGATTGTGGATTCTGGGTTCCACCACTGCTTTTTTCAGATCATAGTTGAAGAAAAGAGAGTTCAGGATCACCTACATCAACACAGAGCATGTCGCGTTACTGATCACATGGGACCGCATGCTTTATCTACAGACTGCTTCATATTTTAAAGGAATAAAAATCGATTTCCGCCGGTTTCCCTTCACCACTCCAGTCGATCAGCCAAGACATGTTTGGCATCTTAAGTTTTGTTCTTTACTTCTAGCTCTGTCTCGCTAATGTCGCTAAGCAGTAAGAAGTAACATCTCTTTTAACAGCACTTAAGTGAGCATTGAGTTACGTATTTATTATAATGTATTGAAATGTATTGCAATGCGCTGTGTTTAATTCTGTTCCTTTTTCTCTAGGTACCAACATGGGCTTTTGTTTCTAGCAGTATCTGAGCTCAGGACTGGCTTTCTCTCTAACCTATTTGTAACTAGCAAAGATACTTTCTCTAGATAGCCAAAGCACTTTTTGTAAGTCGCTCTAGATAAGAATGTCTGCTAAATGCTATAAATGTAAATGTAATGGAACCTTATGCTGCACATGTTAGCATAGTGCTAATGCATACCTGAATCATTGCACACTGGCCAATGTGTAAATGTTCAGTATCTCGAACAGACTTGATGATGTGGTTTCTGACACTGTAGGACTCACTGTTATCTATAAACATGGACTAAATTCTGATTTCAAGATTTTACAGCTAATCAACTACTTCTGAGATAATAGGGAAAACAGTGTTAGTTTGATTTTTCATTGAACTGTTACATGGCTACATCACATGACTCACCACAGCAACTGACGTTGTGATCTGTGTCCCACCTGAGCCACCCACCACCATTTCGACTTTGTTGTTTTTATTAAAGAGGATAGCAGGACACATCGAGGACAGGGGTCTCTTATCTAAAACACACACAGTAAAAAGAATCTAATCAAACCATATGACACTACACTATATTAATGTTTACATTTTTTATTTGATTTTTAATTATCCTACTTAATTTCTAGTTTGATTTTTAATTTAACCATTTTCTCTTTTAAATCTATTGTTTTAATCATGTTTTAATTTTTATTCTCCTTCACTTTTTTAAATGACTGCATTTTCTCATTTGTAGAGCACTTTAAATGACAGCAGTGAATGCAAGTTGTTCTATAAATAAACTTGCCTTGCCTCTATGACTCTATACACTATATGACACTACACTATATTACTCTACACTATATTATTCTACGCTATATGACACTACACCATATGACACTACACACTATATGACTATTCCATATGTCTCTACACTACATGAGTACACCATATGACTAAACTGTATGATTCTATACTATTAATACAGATCCACTGCTGTACAGCAAATGACTTCAGTACAGCACAACAAAAGCTTCCAGGAACAGACTAGAGGAGAATTCCTCACGGGGTTCAATGAAGTTGTTTGGTGAAGGAGGAACTCCAAAGCCATTGGTGATCAGAGGGGAGCTGAAGTCATCCATCTCATTGTTAAGCAGGATGCCCGTGGAGGGGGACATGACCTTGGAGCCGAAGCTGAGGGAATGGAGAGGAATCACAACACACATAGCATTACAGCAGTTTAGCCCCACCCATTCAGCTTACAGCAGTTTAGCCTCACCCATACACACCAAAGTTATAAGTAGTGTTTTAGTCCAAAATGCTTTTTGAATGAGGTATAATACAGGACAGCGAATCAGAACTGAGCTCATTTACATACATTCTTAAAGGGACAGTAAAAAAAATAGCCTGTTTAATTCTAAGGGATAAAGAGAAGCTGGAAAATGATCATTTTGGTTTATAAAAACACACAAACATTTAAAAGCAGACTAAAATACAAGAAATCTGTATTTTATGAGCCTTAAAATTATGAAAAATATACAGTCAGGTGGGTCCAAACTTTTGAGTGGAGCTGTAAACGGTCGTTAACCTTATTGGACCTTATGCAGGTTAACTGAAGATAAACGCTGTCTGTTGGTTCCTGTCGTTAAACATAAATAATGAAATGAAATAAACTGACATTTGCATTGATCACTCACTAATGATTGATGGTGCTAGAGGCAGCCACCGCGCTGCCATCCTCCGCCACTACAGAAAGATGCGAGGTGCCGTGATCATCTGCAATGTAATACTCCGGCTCATAATAACTCTCCTGCTGCGTGGAGTCGTCTGTGATTTTCTGTCGGATGCCATCGGCATAGCTCTTTGAGGTGATGTTCTGGATGAACTGGGAATAAAGAGAAGCAGCTCATTACAGTAGCCTTATGAAGACAAAATAATAACACACAGCTGCTGACCAAAAGCAATGACCACACAGTGAGGCCTTACCATCACGACTCTGGGTTTAGCAAGAAATACAATGATTCTCTTTTATTGCAGCCTGATGTTCAGTGGCTTTGAGCCTCTATCTGCTTTAAAACGACACATCTGTACAATAATAATGTGAACAAAATTCAGTTTAAAAACTTTTTCTAAATTACATCCAACATGAGAGAAAATTTAAAACCAGAGAAATCACAGTTAAATGTTAACCTGAGGAATCAATACATATAAAGAACAAAAATACATGCATGTGATATATGTTTTAATTCACAGCAGATACTGAATTAATACATAATACACATGGTTCGTCAAGGGCTTTTTTGTAAAGTAAATGGTTCTATATAGCACCAAGTAGGCTCCTCTATTGATACAAGTTCGATGTTGTAACAATAGCAAAACCCTTTTTGGGGCTCTATAAACTCTTTTCAGAAATGTTCTACATAGAACCAACAACACATTCTTCATCAATCTGAAGAACCCTTTCACTGTACACAGAACCCTTTAATCATGCAAAGTAATAATCATGCTCAAAATAGATACTGTATAATTCATAGTAGATACTGAATAATTCATAGTGGATGCTGAATAATTCAAAATAGATACTGTATAATTCATAGTGGATACTGAATAATTCATAGTGGATGCTGAATAATTTATTGTAGATCCTGAATAATTTACAGCAGATACTGAATAATTCATAGTAGATACTGAATAATTCACAGTAGATACTGAATAATTAAGTGGTTACTAAATAATTCATAGTAGATACCAATAATTAATAGTAGATACTGAATAATTCATAGTAGATACTAATAATTCATAGTGGATACTGAATAATTAATAGTAGTTACTGAACAATTCATAGTACATACTGAAAAATTCATAGGAGATACTGAGTAATTGAAAATAGATACTGTATAATTCGTAGTGGATACTGAATAATTCATAGAGGTTACTGAATAATAAGTCTTAAGATTTATAACTGAATAATAAGCCTACAATTTAAGGAGTTTATGAGTAGCAGTGATGTTATTTCTTCTTTTTCTCCTGTGAAGGATTCATGTAGCTCTTCTTCCATGTAAAGAGTAAATGTCAACGTTTTACTACAGTGTACCTCATCGATGTTGAGGAATTTGGGGTCTCCCAGAACGCTCCTCTTGGCGTATGCGAATCTGAAAGCCTCCACTATGCGATGGTAGGTGAGGATCTTCTTCTCGGTGCTGGAGACGCTCTCTGCTGAGAAGCCGTAACCTGCAGGAGGAGCCGTACAGCAGTGGGAGTTTAAAGAGCCCATCTCCACTTATAATGTTTCTTTGCTTTTTGTACCAAAAACAAGCCTTTATGATGTATGTAAATGAGCTCTGTTCTGATTGGCTGCTCTGGATTGCGCCACATTCAAAAAGCATTCTTTATAATGTCAGTGTCAGTGGGTGGGGTCAAACTGCAGTAGGCTAAATGGGCTGGGCTTCACTGCTGTAGAATGAATAGGTGGAAATATGTAACTGTTGGTTTTTGTAACATCACAAAAGCAATCAATTCAACAAGGCTTGTTTTTTTTCAGCTTAGCTTCCACATACAGACTGTGTGGACTGAGGAGTGAACGGTACATTTTAAAACTTTAACAACTTTCAACTTTAAAAAGTGGTTTTCCATATTTGCCCTGTAATCACTTCTTCTATCTACCCCCAGAGACAGTAAGATGTTGACGGGGTTAGCTGGTGAGATCAGGTCTGATTAGCGTTAATCAGACACAGAAACATTTCCTTACTTAATCACTTAATCATTTACTTTAACTGCCACACAGTGTTTTTAATACATAAGCTTCTACTGTTTCAAAGAAAAGCATGTTTTATACTCCACTCAGTCCGCTGAGTCATGAATGAGGCTCTGTGGGTAGTTCACTACTTATTAAACTCTGCTGACAAAACACAGAAAGAGAGAGAGAGAGAGAGAGGAGAGAGAGAGAGAGAGAGAGAGAGAGAAAGCTAATGAGACCTTTGCTTTGCTGGGGTTTTATTCCTGTCCTCAGGGTGACGGTGGAGAACATTCGGTGCCAGATATTAAAGCAATCAGAACAGTGAAAAAACATGAAATGCAAATTTCTTTTCATTAGTGACAAGCTGAGAAGCAAACCCTTTATTACACCGCTCTGACGTTATCTGATTTCTTTGAAAAAGAATTAGCGAGGATTTGATTTTTACTTTGTAAAATTTAAATAGAGAATTCTTATCAGAGATGAATTAGTCCACTTTAAAAAGGCTGGAAATGTACAGTGTTATTAGCAACTTAATCACAAACAAAGTACTGTAAACATACACTGTAGAAAAAAAGTATTTTCACTTTAATAATGAAAGGGTCAATACCTGTTTTTATATAAAAATAAAAACAGGTATATTACATTTCACAGATGTTTGTATATATTTCAAAGCCTATATTATTATTATTATTATTATTATTATTATTATTATTATAAATGGTATCAGTACTTGAACTAGTAAAACTTGATTTACAATAAAGGTAGGCATTAAGAAATTCAAACTGTAATTTTACAGATATTTACTATCATTGAGAATACTTTTACTGTTACTGAGCAGGATTTGTCTGCTGCCAAACTTTACACAGTTTTTTTTTACAGATTTGTTTACAGTGTAGTCTATTTTCCTGTAAAACTTTTTACAGTTTCGACAAAAGTCAAACCACGTTTAGAAGCCACAACATTTTATTAGTATAAAATTTTTAAATCTTGGCTGTAAATATGTTTCAGTACATGCTAGTGTCCTAGCATAGGCTAAAGATTATGATATAAAAAAATGCAGACTTACTTTAAATCATAAGTTTACTTTAAAGTCTGTGGGCCAGATTAGGCCTGCAATACAATTATATCTGGCCTGTAAAATTATTTAAATTTTCTATTTCCATTAGCACAATGCACTATACTACAACCTGCACTAGAATCCCCAGCTTGCACTGCAACATGATGTGCACTCCCACCTCCTTCCACCCACAACAATCTATGAGACAACGATTACACCACAATTCTACCACACCAATCACTACCCCACCAAACACACTAGCAGCATTTCAGCTGCAGTTCAACCAACATGAACACTATAAACTCTATAAACATGATAAACACTATAGACACTATAAAAACAATAGACACTACAAACACTATAGATACTATAGACACTATAAACACAATAGACACTACAAACACTATAAACACTACAGACACTATAAACAGTATAAACATCATAAACACTATAGACACTATAGACACTAGGAACACTATAAAAACAGTAGACACTATAGACACGATAACTGCTAAAACGCTATAAACACTCCAGACACTATAAAAGCTATAGATACCATACACACTATAAACACTATAAAAATTATAAACACAATAGACACCATAGACATTCTAAACACTAAACAATATACACACTATAAACACTAGAGATACTGTAAAAACTATAGACATTATAAACACGATAAACAATATAAACACTATAGACACTATAAACGCTATAGACACTATGAACACTATAGACACTATAAACACTATAAAGTTATAGACACTATAGACACTGTAAATACTGTAAACATTATAAACGATATAAACACTTTACGCTATAAACACAAAACCATAGACACTATGGACATTATGAATGCGATAAACACTATAGACATTAAAAACTCTATAAAAACTCTAGATACTATAGACACTATAAAGACTATAGACACTATAAATGCTATAAACACTATAAACGATATAAATGTTATAAACGTAATAAAGCTATAGACACTATAGACACAGTAAACACTGTGAACATTATAAACGATATAAACACTATAAACGCTATAAACACAACACTATAGACATTATAAACAATATAAATGATATAAACACTATAAACAATATAAACACTATAGACACTATAAATGCTATAAAACTATAGACACTATAAAAACTGCAAATTATATAAACACTATAAATGCTATAAACACAATAGACACTAAAGACACTGTAAACACTATGGGCACTATAAAAGCTATGAACACTAGACACTATAGACACTGTAAACACTGTAAATATTATAAGTGATATAAACACTATAAATGATATAAACACCATAAATTATATAAACACTATAGACACTATAAAAACTATAAACGATATAAACACTATAAACACTATAAACACTCTAGACACTATAAACTGTATAGACACTATAGACTCTATAAACACTATAGACACTATAAATGATATAAACACTATAGACACTAAAGACACTATAAACACCATAAACAATATAAACAATATAAATGCTATAAACACTACAGACACCATAGACACCATAAACACTGTAAACATCATAAATGATGTAAACACTATAAATGACATAAACACTATAGACACTATAAATGCTATAAAAACTATAGACACTATAAACACTACAAACGATATAAACACTACAAATGCTATAAAGACAATAAACACTACAGACACTATAAACACTATGGGCACTATAAACGCTATAAACACTATAGACACTATAAAAACTAAAGACACTAAAAACACTATAAATGATATAAACACTATAAACGCTATAAACACTGTAGACACTATAGACACTACAAACGATATAAACACTATAAACACTCTAGAGACTATAAACTCTATAAACACTCTAGACACTATAGACACTGTAAACACTGTAAACATTATAAACGATATAAACACAACGCTATAAATACAACACTATGGACACTAAAAACACTATAAACTATACAGGCACTATAGACATTATAAATGCTATAAATACTATAGACACTATAAACTCTATACACACTCTAGACACTCTAGAGACTATAGACACTATAAACACTATAGACACTATAAATGCTATAAACACTATGAACACTATAAATGTTATAAAAATGTAAAAAAATAAACATAAACACTATAAAGCTATAGACACTATAGACACTGTAAACACTAAACATTATAACAACTTAAACACTATAAACACTGTAAACAACACTATAGACCTTACAAACACTATAAACGATATAAACTCTATAGACATTATAAATGATATAAAAACTATAGACACTATAATCTCTATAAACACTGTAGACCCTATATACACTATAAACACTATAAGCGCTATAAATGATATAAACACTATAAACGCTAGAAACACTATAAACTCTATAAACATTCTAGACACTATAGACACTATAAACACTATAAACACTATAAACATTATAAATGCTATAAACACTATATATACACTATAAATGCTATAAATACTATAGACACTATAAAAACTGCAAACATTATAAATGATATAAACACTATAAACGCTGTAAACGATATCAACACTAGACACTATAAATGCTATAAACACTATAGACACTATAAACACTAAACGATATAAACACTAAACGATATAAACACTGTAAACACTATAAAGACAATAAACACTATAGACACTATAAACACTATAGACACTATAACGCTATAAACACTATAGACACTATAAACACTAATAACACTATAAACACTATAAATGATATAGATACTGTAAACATTATAAATGATATAAACACTGTAAATGATATAAAAGATATAAACACTATAGAAACTATAAATGCTATAAACACTACAGACACTATAAACACTATAAACGATATAAACACTAAACGCTATAAACACTATAAATGCTATAAACGCTATAAACACTATAAACATTACAGACACTATAAACACTATAGAGTCTATAAACGCTATAAACACTGTAGACACTATAAATGCTATAAACACTATAAACATTATAAACACTATTAACATAACAAACACTATAGACACTAAACACTAAAGATTATAAACACTTAACGCTATAAACACTTAACGATATAAACACAACGCTATAAACACAACACTTTGGACACTATAAACACTAAACGATATAAACACTGTAAACACTATAAAGACAACAAACACTATAGACACTATTAACACTATAGACACTATAAACGCTTTAAACACTTTAGACACTTTAAACACTAAAGACATTATAAACACTATAAACGATATAAACACTATAAACACTAAATGTTATAAACACTGTAGACACTATAAATGCTATAAACACTAGACAATATAAACACTATAAATGCTATAAACACTAAATGCTATAAACACTATAGACACTATAAACACTATAAACGCTATAAACACTATAAACATTAGACACTATAAACTTTATAAACACTCTAGACACTATAAACATTAAAGACACTATAAACACAATAGACAATATAAACACTACAAAGCTATAGACACTATAGACACTTTAAACACTAAACATTATAAACGATATAAACACTTAAAGCTATAAACACAACACTATGGACACTATAAATGCTATAAACACTATAAACATTATAAACACTATAAATGCTATAAACACTATAGACACTATAAACACTAAAGACATTATAAACACTGTAAATGATATAAACACTATAAACGTTATAAACACTGTAGACACTACAGACACTGTAAACACTGTAAACATTATAAATGATATAAACACTATAAATGCTATAAACGATATAAACACTATAGACACTATAGACACCACAAACACTATAAACGATATAAACACTATAGAAACTATAAACACTATAAACGCTATAAACACTATAAACACTCTAGAGACTATAAACTCTATAAACACTCTAGACACTATAAACCCTAAAGACATTATAAACGTTATAAACACTATAAACATAATAAACACTAGAAAGCTATAGACACTATAGACACTGTAAACACTGTAACCATAGCTATAAACACAACACTATGGACACTATAAATGCTATAAACACTATACATGTTATAAACGCTATAAACATAAACACTATAAAGCTATAGACACTATAGACACTGTAAACACTATAAACATTATAAACAATATAAACACTAAACACTATAAACACAACACTATAGACATTATAAACACTATAAACGATATAAACACTATAGACACTATAAATGCTATAAACACTATATACACTAAACTCTATAAACACTCTAGACCCTATAGACACTATAAACACCAAAAACACTATAAATTATGTAAACATTATAAATGCTCCAGACACTTTTACAGTTTTACATAGATTCCAGCATTTAAGACCACTTATTATTAAAACTGTTAGAAAGCTCAGTAAAACTTTATTTTTCTGCAAAGCCTCTTTTACTGCTAGGGAGGATAATTTCATTTTTACCTAATAATCTAATTCTGCTCTGGAGTGACAAGGGGGCAGTGAATAAGACGTATGAAAGGTGAAAGGTGTTAGTGACTGTTAGTGACAGTGCCTGTCCTGATCATCTGGGAGTGGAGCTGCTTGTGTTTAATTCCTGAAGCTGAAAAAGTTTAAAGATCAAACTTACAGCTCAGTGACTGAACTACCAACAGACTCTCAGGTCACACAAACGTTATCTGGTTTACTTTATTTACTAAGAAAAACACTATTTTAATCCCTTAAATGGCCAGGGCTCACTGGTGGACCCAAAGTTTTATTATATATAATAAGGTTTTGCAATAACAAATATGTAATAAGCCTTTAATGATGCAGAACAATATTAAGATCAGTTAGCACCCTGTAGTTAGCTTTTCTTAGCTTGGCATCTTACTGTTATCTTGTTAAATAAACAGAAGTCTATGATTGGTCAGTTTGTGTGTTAGTGAAACCGCCACTTCCTGTCAAAATTAGCCAACAAAAATCCTCCAGATTCTCTGGCAATAGGCACAAATCTGGCTTGCAAGATCAGCTAACATCAGCCCAAACATTCACAGGCAACTTCACCAAGGAGCTGCCTAGGCCTATTTATGACCACACTTCTGAAATGCATCTTCTAAGGTCTTCAGTAGTTGTGTACACCAAGCTGCAGCCGCCACAATTGGAAAGACTATATTAGAATCCAGAGGGCGGGGTTTATATACATGTCACTGCTGATTGGGTCCATGACACGCCCATCAAACGAAAGAAAACACACCTCAGAGGCTCACTGCACACCGTTTCACACAATTTCAGCGAAACATGTCGTCCAACCTGGAATCTGTAGCAAAACAGTGTACAACGTTTTGAGGTTGACCGTGCCCCTTGATCTTGACTCAGAACTGGTGACCAATTTCTCCCAGGAACCTCCAGGATACAGAATCTTCTCGGCAGTGGCCCCGGCGGTGTGGTGTGAGCATCAGTGGAGAGAACCCAGTTCTGACGCGGGCGTTTGAGGTTTTCTTTTTGAGAGTTTATGAGGGATCTGAGCTGACAGGCCGCTGAAGCGAATCTCCTGCTGCCGGGGAGCCGTGAAAAAGGGTTTTGACGCGCGGGTTCGTTTTATTCCAAGCTCAGTTTGTGTCCAATTAGAGGCTACAGCCGGGCGCTGGTGAGAGAGACAGAGGGCAGCTGAGTGGGCGGAGAGTTAGCAGAGCGGCGGGCAGACGGATTCTAATTACCCGTCACATTAAAGTTTGGAGTCAGTCTCGTCCCACTGATCCACGCAGGACGCTCTCCGGCAGAAACACACAACACACCGCAGACCAACACTGGAGCTCAGAGCTGCTGACCACTCTCACAGCATCTGGACACTTTTAGACAGATTTGCCTTTAAACCTTTAAGTTCAGCGCAAAAAAGCATTGATAGGTCTGTGCAAAAGTTTTGGACACCTGACAAAAATCTATATTAAAAAGCCATTTATCTGGACTGTGAACAGGGAGTTAAATTTGCTCTTAAATATTTGAATACAATACAAATGATATTACAGTAAGTGATGATTTTATGTTTCTCAGTGTTTTGACTTAACTGCTTTCTGCTGTCTCCTTAAGGAAGCCCAGCATTACTTGTAGTTGCCATCCAATACTTATCGAATCAAAATTTATACCGAATCAATATACCGAATCCAATACTTATCAAATCAATATTTATACCGAATCAATATACCGAATCCAATACTTACCAAACCAATATTTCATTAAATTAAATCATGATGATTTTGAGTAATTCTGTTCTGCTATTACTCCATTACTAGCAGCACTGTTCTCCTATTAGTGGATTTTTAGCAATGCTGGTGTCCTATTTGTGGACTTTTAGTAATGCTGTTCTAATATTGGTGGATTCTTAGCAATGCTGTTCTCGTATTGGAGGATTTTTGGCAATGCCATTTTCTCACTGGTGGACTTTTAGCAACGCCATTCTCCTATTGGTGGATTTTTAGCAATGCTGTTCTCCTATTGGTGGACTTTTAGTAATGCTGTTCTCCTATTGGTGGATTCTTAGCAATGCTGTTCTCCTATTGGTAGATTTTTAGCTATGCTGTTCTCCTATTAATGGGCTTTTAGCAATGCCATCCTCCTACTGGTGAATTTTTAGCAATGCTGTTTTCCTATTGGTGGATTTTTAGCAATGCCATTCTCCTATTAGTGGATTTTTAGCAATACTGTTCTCCTATTAGTGGATTTTAAGCAATGCCATTCCATTCTCCTATTGGTAGATTTTTAGCAGTGCTGTTCTCCTATTAGTGGATTTTTAGCAATACCATTTTCTTACTGGTGTATTTTTAGTATGCCGTTCTCCTATTTATGGATTTTTAGCAACGCAGTTCTCCCATTGGTGAATTATTAGCAATGCTGTTCTCCTATTGATGGGTTTTTAGCAATGCTGTTTTCCTGTTGGTGGATTTTTAGCAATTCTCTTTTCTTTTGGTTGATTTTTACCAATGACGTTCTCCTATTAATGGATTTTTAGCAATGCTGTTCTCCTATTAGTGGATTTTTGGCAATGTTGTTCTCCTATTGGTGGATTTTTAGCAATGCTGTTTTCCTATTGGTGGATTTTTAGCAATGCTGTTCTCGTATTGGTTGATTTTTACCAATGCTGTTCTCCTATTAGTGGATTTTTGGCAATGTTGTTCTCCTATTGGTCGATTTTTAGCAATGCTGTTTTCCTATTGGTGAATTTTTAGCAATGCTGTTCTCGTATTCATTGATTTTTACCAATGCCGTTCTCCTATTAGTGGATTTTTAGCAATGCTGATCTCCTATTGGTGGATTTTTAGCAATGTCCTTCTCCTATTGGTGGATTTTAAGCAATACCGTTCTCTTGTTGCTGGATTTTTAGCAGTGCCGTCCTACAATTAATGGATTTTAGCAATGTTGTTCTCCTATTGGTTGATTTTTAGCAATACTGTTTTCTTATTGGTGAATTTTTAGCAATGCTGTTCTCCTATCGCTGGATTTTTAGCAATGCTCTTCTCCTATTGGTTGATTTTTAGCAATGCTGTTTTCTTATTGGTGAATTTTTAGCAACGCCGATTTCTTACTGGTGGATTTTTAGCAATGTCATTTTCTTTTTGGTGGATTGTTAGCAATGCCGTTCACCTTTTGGTGGAATTTTGGCAAGGCCGTTTTCTTATTGGTGGATTTTTAGCAATGCTATTCTCTTATTGGTGGATTTTTTGCTGTGCTGTTCACCTGTTGTATGAGATGACTGTGAGGGCAGGTATAATGAATGTAACAGTAATTGTTTTTGATCTTACCGCTGAGTATGTTGAGTATGAGGGTGAGTACGGGGCCGCCGGATGGTGCATTGGGCACAAACATGGTGAAATCGCCCACCGATGCCTGTAGAGGGCTTTCATTCAGTACAGGAGTGTAATTCAGCAGATCCTCCAGAGTTATTATCCCACCTGAAGACACGCACACACACCTGTTTCACACCTGCATCACATATTCACTGAGTCATAGTCTTATTTATTATAAAGTCTATTATTTTATCATCATCTTTGACATAAAGTCATTCAGTAGATAAGCATCTCATAATTTTCCTTAAATCATTCATTTTACACCTTTCATAACCTGCATGAGCACTGACGATTTTAGCATACAATATCTTTTATAGTTGTCTGTGGAAACAATTAGAACAGAACGGCACCCAACCTGCATCCCTGATGTCGTTGACGAGGTTCTGAGCGATGGAGCCGTTGTAGAAGGCGTCAGGCCCTTTGTCTGCAATCTCTTGGTATGTATCGGCCAGTTTGGTGAAGGTGATGGTGTCGTTTTCCTGCAGGATGTCTCCACTTTCATCACAGAACACAGAGCTAAAACACAGTAGGTCCACCACCCTGTAAGTTCTCACTGTTTAACTACATTAGAGAAAGATTCATTGATTGTAAAGCAGCTCTGTCTTTGATTTATCTTCAACACTCAGCTTCATCTTCATCAAGCCTCTTTCTCAGTATGAACAGCAGGTTATCGTCTAAATAATGATTTTTTTTCCAAACTGTTGAAACTCTTTTGGCCTAAACGTGCTTTAAACACCTGAAAGGTCTGTGTTCTGACATTACAACAAAAAGCGAAAGTGGGCATTCTTTCCTAGCATAGCACTGTCCCTAAAAGTGGCACAAATATTTACATGTGTGATCTTGTTTTGTTCTAAATAGACCTTGTTAAAATAGACCTTGACCTACTTTTATTTATTTTATTTCCTCCTGAGGTCTAATAATAAATTTTGTGTGGTTTTATGAACGAAAGAGTCATAATTCATTTTTATATGACCATTTTTCCAACCTCTCTTAGAATTAAACAGGCAGTTTTTGTTACAGTGCCTTTAAGACTGATATATGTAAATGAGCTCTGCTCTGATGGGCTGTGTCTCACTCAAAAAGCAGACAGGGTTGAAACACTCCTCATAACTTCAGTGAATAGGCGGAGTTAAACTACTGTAGGCTGAAAAGGTGGCTATATACATACATGTAAACAAGTTGCTTTTGAGGGTGAGCGTTTACATGTTTCTATACCACATCAAACTCTTTTATTAAAAAAAGGAAGTAAATATGTGGTCGTGATTTTTTGCAGCGCTGTTCTCTTATAGGTTGATTTTTAGCAATGTTTTTCTCCTATTGGTGGGTTTTTAGAGAGGCTGTTCCCTTATTGGTGGACTTTTAGCAATGTTGTTCTGTGGATGTTAAACAATGCTGTTCTCCTATTAGTGAATTTTTAGCAATGCTGTTCTCTTATTGGTAGATTTTTAGCATTTTTAGCAATGCTGTTCTCCTATTAGTGAATTTTTAGCAATGCTGTTCTCCTATTAGTGAATTTTTAGCAATGCTGTTCTCTTATTGGTAGATTTTTAGCATTTTTAGCAATGCTGTTTTCCAGTTTGTGGATTTTAAGCTATGCTGTTCTCATATTAGTGGAATTTAGCAATACTGTTCTCCTATTGGATTTTTAACAATGCTGTTCTCTTATTGGCAGATTTTTAGCAGTGCTGTTCTTTTATTGGTTGATTTTAGCAATGCTGTTCTCTTATTGGTGGATTTTTAGCAGTGCTGTTCTTTTATTGGTTGATTTTTAGCAGCGCTGTTTTCCTATCGGTGGATTTTTTTTAGCAATGTTGTTCTCTTATTCGTGGATTTTTAGCAATGCTGTTCTCTTATTGGTGGATTTTTGGCAATGTCTTTCTCCTATTGGTAGATTTTTAGCAATGCTGTTCTCTTATTCGTTGATTTTCAGCAGTGCTGTTCTCTTATTGGTGGATTTGTAGCAGTGCTGTTCTTTTATTGGTGAATTTTTAGCAGTGCTGTTTTCTTATTGGTGCATTTTTAGCAATGTCTTTCTCTTATTTCATTAGCAATGATATGGGCCCTTTTATATGGTACGTTATTGATAACCAACAAAGAAAACATGCTGTTTTGTAATGAAAAGTTTTGAGAAGTCAGTATTATGGATATGATGGAGCTATATAGAGGTCCCATTGCTCCTCTAATGGTAACAGCAGAAGTGTCTTAATCCTCACCACAGGGTCTTGTCGCTGATGATGGTGTTTCGGTTGCTGTAGATGGCTTGTGCCAGTGCCCTGCCCACCGGGAAGCCCTCGCGTGCCAGCTTTATACTGGGCAGGAACAGCTCTCTCCAGGGCAGCTTACCATGACGCCGATGAGCCAGTTCATAACCTCGGATCTCTCCAGGAACAGCGATGGACAGACCACCTACACAGAGGCATGAAGGCCCGTTAACCATTTAAACCATATATTATTAAGAAATGACCAGTGGTATCCAGTGCTGTGCAAAAGTCAGAGACCCTTGATTTATTTAACAGTCAAAACAGCTGTTAAGTACAAATTATTTATTGTCCACCCTTCTGCCATGAGCCACAGTTACAAAGTTCAGTCTTGGTAGTTTGTTGATCATTTTCTGAAGTAATCCAAACACATTCAGTGATGTTGAGGTCTGGACTCTGGGGTGGTCAGTCCATTGTTCTGAGAACACCAGCAGTTTCTTTGTATAAAAGCATGTCTTGATCTTCACAGCGGTGTGCTCAGGGTTGTTTTCTTGCTGTAGAATTAATTTCTAACGTTTTCCAGAGGGGCGCTACATGCTGTATTAAAATTTGTTTTTACTTATTTGCATCCATGACGCCTTCAGTCAAGGACAAATCACCAACTCCATATGTTTTTCTACATCCCAAACTTGCACTTATCCTCTACCGTGCTCGGCTGATGGCTGTAAAAGTCTTTTATTACTTTGGTGGAGTACATACCAGCTTCTGTTGCTACCAGAGATCTCAATTTTAGATTCATCAGTCCATAAATCTGCACTCCACGCCTCATCCAGTTTCAGAGCTTTAGGGCAGATTTTCTCATCTATGTCCTTTTCTCAGTGAGGCTTCTTGGCAGCTACACATCCTTTCAGACCCATAGGGCTGAGTTGTCTTCTCACAGTGCAAGGATGGACAGAAACACCTGTGGATGTTTTCAGATCTGAAGCAGCTTGCTGTTTATCTCATAGGGGCAGTTTTGGTGTCTACCAGGTCTCCCAGGTGGTTGTTAGGAGTCACATTTTCTCTGCAGCTTCTAATCAGTTTTGGAAACTCCTTCATTATGCAAGTGGATTATCTCATACCTAATCTCCACACAAATATCCCCTGAAAAATCAATAACTTGTACTTAATGACTGTTTTGACCAGGAATAAAATATCTTTTTTCACAGTACTGTTAACCTTGATTCAATAACTTTTATAAATACAATCAATCAATCAACCTTTATTTAAGCTCTGAATACATTGAGGGAGAACCTCATTTACAATGTTGCCAAGTAATACAGGAATCAGGGATTGAGTTGTACAGTAAAAAAAATAAATCAAAAGCTATAATTAAATAAAAATTATAGCTAAATTTAATAATAAGAAGGTACCAATAAACTTTTAAATCAATAAACGATTAAAATTACAATATAGTAACTTAGTATTGACTATTACACTGAATATTCAACGTAACTGGAGAAACTCTTTACACAGCAGTGGAATATAAACAATAAAAGGAATACATTAAGCTTATTTTCTATTTTTACATATAAAAACAGCCTTTACAAATTATTGGATACTATTATCCCAGATAGCAAGCATCTATCAGGTCTGCTGGCTTGATAAAGTCAGCACCCCACTGTATACCACTGTTGGTCCACCCCCGGACCACCCAGATTACTGTCCTACATACAAGCTCTACTTAGTTTTAAACTCTTTAAACAGATTTTAAATGCACAGAGCCTTTTATTTTAGAAAATAAACTTAGACAAATATTACAAATAAGTGAGAGAAAAAAAATGACAAGGCTTAATGTAAAATCATGTTATAGAAAATGACACTACGCTAGATTAATATAATTCACTAAACTAATTTACAAAGTATAACTAAAGAAAGTAAGGAAGGAAAAATAGGTAAACTGGACTGTGAGGGGAAAATGAGTGATCATAAGTGGAATTTTGTCTAACACTCTGCTTGGTATTGTTGGGCCGCCCAGAAAACACTGAGCAAAACACCAGTGGACCACCAGCTTTGCCATCAGTGGGCCGACAGTGGTCCACTCTCCTCTTGCTATCAGGGTATGACTGATTATAGTCAATTCTAACATTCTAAACTGAATGCAGTCAAATCACCACGTTTAGATCGAGCTGCAGACATTACTTAGTAATCCAGAGGTGAGAAAAACCTGCTTGATGTGAGGGGGGATGCATCAGTATGTCATCCTATAAGAAACATGACAAAAAAATGTCAATTTTGAGATTTGCAAAGTTCTCTTTGATGTATAAAATGGACCAGGGCCCAAATTACAGAAACTTCCTCTCTTTTAGTCCTAAGTTAAGATCTGACAGGTCAAGATATGATTTTTCACAAATTCAGACACACAGAGCTGAAACGTAAACACAATCAAAATAATGTTAAATATGTAAGTTACAGCTGCTGTTACTGATGTAAAAATGTCAAACTAAACTAAAATGTGATAAACTGTAAGTTATGAATACTGTCAGAGCGCCCTCTGCTGTTTATCAGAGCGTCGCCGCTCCCCAGTTTCAGTCCCCGTTTCCCAAACGCTTTAGCTGTGCGCACTGATGTTATTCCTGCTAATAAACAGACACACATTCAGCTCTGTCTCCTCATTATTCACCACCATCACTGTAATATTTGATCATCAACATTAACACACAAAGGTAATGAGAGGGGACGGTGGAGATTGTGTCTGCAGTGTCTGAGTTAGAAAAGAAAAACATCTCACAAGTGAAAACAGCGTTTTGCAGTATAAGTAAACGTGGCGTCAATATGCTAGTAGTGAACTATGCTGCCTGACACAGCTGCCTAAAAACAATAGAAACGGACGCTTAAAAAGACGCTTAAAACCTGTTAGCGTTTACAAAAGTTAGGACAGTATTTAGGAGATTTAGTCTAGTTAGGATGTTTGTGTAAAACTGTTTTCTTATCTGGAGTTAATGATAAGATTATGAAGATAGGAACTGTTATTCTGTAATAGCTACTATCCTAAATTCAGTCTGTACTGAGGTCTTCATGGTGATTAAGCAGATTTCAGAGTTAAGATGTAATATGACTGCAGTGCTCACACAAAAAACAATGATCACTGTAAAACTGTCACAGGCTGTTTATGTTCAAACAGCTGCAGTTGATCTTCCAACATCTTCAGATTCTAATATGATATTAAAAAGTCTGGGCCACCAAATCACAGAAAAATTGAGAGATATATAAAATGCTAACTTCTTGTGTTAAAAAAGAAAAAAGTATAGCTACAGTTTATAAATGACATCACAAACCTTTTTACATTTGCGTTTTTGATCATTGGTTGTGACTGAAAGAGTGACTGGAAAACTAATAAAGTAATAATTTCTCTAGAAACTTCCTTATACTATGCATGTGTTATGCAATACAGCACTACACAGGCCTCAGACCTCTAATTAACCCCAGCTTTATAACTCCACAGTTCAGTTCCAGTGTAAAGTTTAAGTCTGTTTGCTAAGTCACTGTGGCTGTGCTGGAAATCTTATCTCCCTCTCCTGATCCTGGGGACCTTCATAAACCCCCCACACTGTTTATGGTTAATGGATGATACCTTTCCGAGAAAGCTCTGTGCTGTTTCCAAACATGTCCTGAGTGGCGTTTGAGGGGGCCGTCTCGCGAGCATCGATGGTTTCCACTCGGCCTGATGCAGAGGCGACAATAAACAACACATGTTTACGCAGCACAACCAGCATTTTGTGAGTTCAGATCGTGTCTTCAACATGATGGTGGTAGTATGAAGGAAGACTGATTGAGGGAAGGGGAGAACTCTGAGAACTTGGGCTGGAGTTCTGGGCAGCTTCTGCCTGTAGACAGAATGCCAGACCACCCTCATAGCTGTAGTAGGACTGATGTGGGGCTGAGGAACTGGAAAGAGATGAGGTGGTGGTGAGGATTGAGAACACTTCGTCACGAAACAGAAGGTGAGGATGTGAATTTATAGGGGGTTAGATTGGAAGACAGAGGGGTTTCAGGCACAGCCCCCCCAAACTTCAGTTAAAACACAAATACATATCATCAGTGTCTAAAGAAAAACAAGCATCTCTGCAATATTAAGTTTAAGGAGAGTACAATGTAAAGAGTAGCTGCAGAGCTCAAATGATGTAAAATAAAAATCAACAAAAATGAAGATGCATGGTTTTCTTTGCACAGTGATGCATGGTGAAATGATTCTTCAGATTGATGGACAATGTGCTGTACACACCTCTATATGGCACCAAAAGAGTTCTTCTATTGTGCTTGAAACAATAGAAGAACCCTTTTTTGATGCTACTTAGAACCATTTTCAGAAAGGTTCTATGTAGAACCATCTACAGCACATTCTCCATCACTCTGAAGAATCATTTCATGAAGCAAAGAACCTTTTCTGGTGCTAGATAGAACTCTTTTCAAAACACTTACATATAGAACCATCTACAGCACCATTTCTTTCACTCTGAAGAACTATTTCATGATGTAAAGAACTATTTTTGGTGCTATACAGAACCATTTTTAAAAAGGTTCTATATAGAACCGTCTACAGCACGTTCTCCATCAATCTGAAGAACGATTTCATGATGCAAAGAACCTTTTTTGTGCTAGATAGAACTCTTATCAAAACACTTACATATGGAACCATATACAGCACGGTATCCATCACTCTGATAAACCATTTCATGATGCAAAGAACTATTTTGGTGCTATACAGAACCATTTTCAAAAAGGCTGTATATGGAGCCATCTAAAACACTTTCTGCATCAATCTGAAGAACTATCTCATGAAACAAAGAACCCTTTTTGGTGCTATATAGACACATTTTCAAAAAGGTTTTACACAGAACCATCTATGGCACATTCTCCATCAATCCAAAGAACCATTTTATGATGCAAAGAACCATTTTTGGTGCAATATAGAACCATTTTCAAAATGGTTCTGTACAGAACTATCTACAGCACATTCTCCATAAATCTAAATAACCATTTCATGATGCAAAGAACCCATTTTGGTGCTATATAGAACCATTTTCAAAATGGTTCTATACAGAACCTTCTACAGCACTTTCTCCATCAATCCAAGAACCATTTTATGATGCAAAGAACCATTTTTGGTGCTATATAGAACCATTTTTAAAAATGTTCTATACAGAACCATCTACAGCACATTCTCCATCAATCTAAATAATGATTTCGTGATGCAAAGAACCCTTTTTGGTGCTGTTTAGAACCGATTTTAAAAATGTTCTACATAAAACCATCTACAGCACATTCTCCATCAATATAAAGAACAATTTCACCATGCAAGAACCATTTAATCATGCAGAGGGTTCTTTGAGTGTTCATGGTTCTATGGAGAACCATTTTCTTTACTAAAGAACCCTTAAAGAACCATCTTTTTTAAGACTGCACTTTATTCACATTTGGCCTGCACTTCGAGCTGTTGGCCAGTGGGTGTGTCTGTACCTGTGCTGGAGTTGTAGATGTTGAGGAACAGGCCGCCACCGATGCCCATACTGTGAGGGTTCATCAGCCCCACACACAGCAGCCCCGCTATCATTCCATCTACAGCAGAACCCCCCCTCTGCAGGATATCCCTGAAAGAAACACGCAGAGTGAACTGCAACATGCAGAAGAAACACTGCAGACAGGCTGGGTGGTGAAGAGTTAAGGAATTTCTAATAGACTAGAATGGGCCTCATTCACAATCCCTTCTTAACAAGAAATCTCTTCTTAAAACCCACTTACACAGTTTTCACAAAGATTCTGACATTCACCAGTGTTTTCTTATTTGGGGTTTGTTTTTAGGTAAGAACAGAATCTACACACACTCAAGAGCACAACGGTGAGAACAGGTACTGAGGTCAGGTACTGATGTTGGATGGTCAGTTCTGGATCACTCCAACTCATCCCAAAGGTATTGGATGGAGCTCCATCTCTCCAGAGAACACAGTTCCACTGCTCCACAGCTCAATGCTGGGGGGCTTTATACTTCTAGCCCACGCTTGGCATTGGAAATGGTGATCTTGGGATCATGTGCAGCTGCTCCAGAGAGTCCCATTCTATTCTAAATCTAATTCACTAACCAGAAAGACTGCCTGGCCTGGCCCTTTTGGACAGATAATATATGATCTGCTGAGGAAATATCATCATCTTAAAACTCAGCTGATTAAGTGAAGCGATCACAGTCACAGATTTTTAGTGATTTTCTGAAAGTGAATGTGCTGAAACAGTCTCTGACCTGCCGATCTCAGAGCATCGTCCAGCATCTGCTGCCACTGCCGCCCGTGTATACGAACCATCGGGAGAAGTGGTGGGTTGTTTCTCCCTAACGCCGAAAAAAACGCCCACAAATGTTCCCACTGCAGCCAGCAGCAGCACCAGCAGCCCCACCACCACCGACTTCTGCACCATCCTGATAACACAGTCAGCAATTACAGCACTGATACACACACACTCACCGGTATCACTTCACAGACCTTCATCAGGTGATACATACACTGGACACTTAGAAACACTTAAACATGTAAAAAATGAGGTTTTGACTTAAAAACATTCATTTTTAACATTCTATTAACTCACAATTTTAAGGAAGCTGGAACACAAATTTTTTAAAGTTGAAACAACATTTGAGTTTTTTTTTTTACAGTGTACCTTCTTTTTCCACTGGCCACTTTATTAGAAACACCTACCTTGTGCTTCTTGGTGGCCACTTTATTAGAAACACCTACCTTTTGCTTCCACTCACTGGCCACTTTATTAGAAACACCAACTTATATTTCAACTCACTGGCCACTTTATTAGAAACACCTACCCTGGGCTTCCACTAACTGGCCAATTTATTAGAAACACCTATCTTCTGTTTCCATTCAGTGGCCACTTTATTAGAAACACCTACCTTGGGCTTCCACTCACCGGCCACTTTCTTCAAAACATCTACCTTATAGATCTATAGAACAGCTCTGAGGTCAGAAACTGACTTGATGGAGAACTAGAGGATGGTTAACAGACTGTGCATCAACAGATGGTCCACAGACTCTAAGTGTACACATTTTTAAAAAAGGTTTTTACGGGTTAGTGAGGGTTTTATTAAAGTAGCAGCACATCAGAAGCACTTTATCAGAAGAGGAACTCCCAGTGAAACAGTGCACAAAGCAGAACAGCAGGTTCTGTTCAGTGAGAAGATCTCTGTGCATCAAAATGTTCACAGTGTCTCAACCAGCAGAGCCGTGATATTTACAGAACAGTCATACACAGTCTAATGAGCCAGAGAGGCTCACACACAGACCGCACAGGGCACTAAGAGCAGCCCTGATGGAGTTAGTAATGAAGACGGGCTCAAAATATAAAGACGAACAATAAATAACAACAGAAGCTACAGCAGGTCTGATAAAGAGAAAAGATGATTAGCTTTAAAGAAACTTGTTCACTCCAATCAGAATTTAAAGCCCAGACTACTGTCACCAATGACTCAAATGTGAATATATTGTGTTGCAATAGTTAAATTGCCAATTTTCTACATTTTCTTTTTGTTTTTTCCCCACTAGTCCATTTATAATGTTTGTTTGGTTTTATGTACAAAGATAAGTGTGATGCATTCTACATGACTAACCTCTCTTTAATAGATACTGAATAATTCATAGTAGATACCAAAAAATTAATAGTAGATACCAAAAAATTTATAATGGATATTGAATAAATCACAGTTGATGCTCAATAATTCATAATGGATATTGAATAATTTATAGTAGATACTGAATAATTTATAGTGGATACTGAATAATTCATAATAGATACTAAATAATTTATAATAGATACTGAATAATTCATAGATTGCATAAAAAAATTACAGCCAAAGTGTAACACAGAATGATTCTTAGCTACACATACATGCAGTATGTGTTGAAAAGTAACACACTCTGTTTTGTGTTTTGAGAATGTGAATTTAGGTTGTTTTTTTTTAGTTTAATTCCTTGCTGTGTAGTTTGTTGTGAACAGTCAGTGCTGTGCGGAGTTGAGTCCGTGTGAAAGAGTTGGCGCTGTCTGAAAGCAGAGCTGATAAATCCCTGCAGTGTGGGAGCGAGCTGCAGCCAAACCAAATTAAAGCCCACCACACAGGAGACCACACTTTCTCACACTGAGAGACTCAGAGAGTCTGAAATCTCCACAGCAACCTGCCCCACACCCACAACCCCTCATGTCAACCACCAACCCCCCAACACAAGCCCTGTACGCTGAAGAACAGCGAGATCTTCCACTGACCAATAAACACTCACAGCACATACAACTTTTTATTCGAATTTGATATAGAAACTATAATTCTATAATTCTGTATGGGTCATTCTACTGTTGGGGCGTCCCACAGTCTATTGTTTTAATTATGCTTTAATCATGTTTTTACTGTTTACTTTTTTTAAACAAGTCTGTATTTTCTGACTCTGTATTTTCTCAAACCACAATTTGATGCTAGTTTTTCAGTTTAAATTGTAAAAATCCTTTAAAATGGTTGCGTACATGTTGAAATTATTTAACCTCTCTGATATCTTTGGGGTCAATTCGACCCCAGTCAGTGTTTCGTCTCTAAATGAATGATCTACATCATTTTTTTGTTTCATATTTAATGACTTTTCCTAATTAAATGGGGCAGCTGAGTAAGTATAAAATTAACATGATATGTTTTCAGTATCCTGTACACATTTGTATGCATCAGTGTTCTTTGGGGTCATTATGAGCCCAGGTTGTTTTAGTTATATATAAAAAAAAAAACATTCACACACATTTGTTGGTTTTGGATGATATTGAAGTCACTATAACATATAACGTTATAATCTTCAAAAAAAAAAAAACTGCTCACTGCTTTAGGGCCCTAACCTAACAGAACCAAATCTGAGGTCACACAACACAGGGGATAAAACATAATTCCCACAAGAACTTTGATATTTCCCGCTTTGTGGGGGTGAGGAAATATAGTTCCAGCAAGGACATTGATAGTTTACACAATAAAGGGGAACACCAAACATATTGTGGTATAAGCCATGGATCACGCTACCCTGAGAAGCTCAGGAGGTGTGGGTATGCAAAGTAGCTCCTGGTAAGAAAAAGACAGTTCTTGTTCTATTGTTGTTGTTGAAGTTGTTGCTGTTATTAGTGTAGTTGTGTTGCTTAGATTAAACTGTGTCAATGAGCAATGCCTGTTCACAATAAAAGAGCATTCCGTATCTTATCTAGGTTTTCAATATTTTTTTCTACGCTGACACCACAGTGGTGTCAGAAGTGGGATATGAATGAACTCAAACACAACAAACTCAAAGGCGAATGTTGGCAAAGGAAACTGTGAAGCTAGGTTCGGCAGCAGAGCCCAGCTGGAGCCCAGCAAGAGGAAGGCATGCATCTGCCTGCTGTGCTTCGACTGCAAGGTTGCCTGGGAGCCATACTCCACACAGCTGCAAGTGGTTGCCCAACATCACAGCTGGATGGCGGCCTGCGCTGCAATGCAACTGTGTTTGGCATTGGAGGGGAAAGCACTATGGGTGTTGGTGGATTTGGTGCCAGAACAAGATAAAGACCTAGTAATATTGACCTCGGCCCTCCAGCAATTCTTGAGGCAGGTGCTGGTAGCATGGATGGCCAGACAGTAGCTCCTGAAGAGTTGGAAGTAAAAGGGAGAGCATCACACAAGTGACACCCTTGTCGGCACCTTCAATGCAGTTGACGATAGAGAAAGGGAAAGTGATGGATACCCCCAGTTACCCCCAGTAGCCCCTGACTTGACTGTAAGCAGTGAGGAGTTTCACTGCACCCAGGAGGAGGACGCAGTGCTCAGCAGCACACCAATGGATGGGACACTTGCGGAGCTGGTGTTCGGCCACCCGCGAACAGCAGAGCAGGAGGCCACACCTGGGGTGGAGTACACTGAAGAGCCACTGCACCAAGAATACAGCCCCAGGAGAGGGAGAAGGGGCGTGAATCAGGCATCCTGTAGCACTTGTGCTGGCCGGGAATCTGTACGCCTCAGGAACTTTGTTTAGACTGTGTGGGTTGCCAGGACAGCTGACCCTTGAGGGGGGAACTATGTTATGTAAAAGGTATTCTGGATGTATGGGGCTGGGGAGGGTATGTTTTATTTAAAGGGCTATTTAGGTAGTCACCAAGAAACATAACGTACCTGACACATAAGCCTGGGTAACAATTTTAATTATAATCATTTTCAGGAGGTTGCTGGGGTCAAACTGAACCCAAGGATCAAAAATGTTAGTAAATCTAAAGATAACAGGAGGGTTAAAAATATTTCTTATAATAAAAATATTTATTGCATGGATATCTCAAAGGAAGAAAGATTATTTTTGAGAAGTCCTCAGTTAGTGAAGTTAGTAAAGTCTCCTTTTGTGTTTCTAAAAATTTGGCTAAAATACTGACAGCATCATACAAAGATTGTCAGTGATTTAACTCATTAAACATTAAGTTTTGAATAAAGGTTTCAAAATGAAAATAATAACATGAGCAGAGGAAGGTAGTATCTAGTTACATTTACTCAAATACATGTATTTCAGTTAAATATTGATGGATTTGTACTCTGCTGAGTGTTTTCAAATTGTAACACTTCTACTCAAATATATAAGTGAATAAAAGAATCTATATTTTACATTTTACAGTTACATTTTATCAGTTCATATTCATTTACTAATTCCTTTTTAGAGATTAAATTTATTCTGATTTGTTAACATCTGTACTGCTCTGTAACTGGTTACATCTCTGACTTTGGAGATTTAGCATTTTATTTTAGACCAAAATGATCCAAGAAAGAGAAAAATAGCTGTGTACAAACTTCAGTTCCTGTGCTGAGACATGCTGGATGTGTTAAGTTCCATTGCAGTTCTGTAAATTACTCTGTACTTAAGTAGTTTTTTGTCCTGACACTTTTGTATTTTTACTCAAGTTGTTTTATTTGATGACACTTTTACTTTTTACTTTTACTCAGTGATCAGTACTTTTACTTGAGTATTGATTCAGGCTACACACTTAAAAAGATGGTTCTTCAAGGGTTCTTTAGTAAAGAAAATGGTTCTATATAGAACCATGAACACTCAAAGACCCATCATGATTAAAGCATTCTTGGATGGTGAAATGGTTCATACAGCATCTTTTTGGTGCTATAAAGAACGCTTTTCAAAATAGTTCTATATAGAATCTGAACAATCTGAAAAAGCTATTTCACCATACAGAACAATTTAATCATGCCAAGGGTACTTTGAGTATTCATGGTTCTACATATAACCATTTTCTTTACTAAAGAACACTTGAAGAACCTCATAGGAACATAAATGCAATAACTGTGAATTATGATCCAGATTATATTTTTGTAATGTTGTCAGCTTTACTGATGCTGTTCAATATAAAAGACTTAATTTGAATTACGTAACGCTTTTTCGCTGTTTACATAACGGTGCTTTATGTATTTATTTTTGTATTTATTACATTCTTCTATGTTATATGTACCCTTACTGCACTATATATTCATCCTCATAGTCATTATGCCCATTCTAGCATCTGATCCAAATAAGAAAAATAACCCACAAAAAGAGAGTTTTTCTCCTACCTTGTGTTCGTCAGGCTGCTGATCAGGCTCCGGCTCTTTGTCTTTTCTGCAGAAGCCTCAGAGTGACACACTGTAGATAAAGCTCACTTGTCAATCCATTACAGTGGCTTTAAACTTTAACCCAGCGCGATAAAGCAAATCAGTGAACCGTGTTTTTATTACACACAGGGCAGGACTGGCCTTCGCTCACCAACACCGTCCATAACCAGCTCTGTTCACTCAGTAACATACATGTAAGTGCTGTTTAGATAGATTTACACTTCAAATGACATTTTACTTCTACTCAAACAAGTCAAGTTCATATAAATATATGTTATTGTTATTTTAGTTGTCTTCCAGCATACTGGAGAATTGTAATTAAATAAAGAATAGTCTTTCAGCTTTAATTTAAGGGTAGTTACATCCAAATCAGAGGAATTCTACAATCCTTTTCATATATAGCCCCCTCACACACATTTTTGGGGAGAAAAAAGTAATTGAACAAATTAACAATCATAAATTAAATTGCAGTCAGTGATTGAAATAGCAATACAAGGAAAACAGCCACAGTACCTCCACCATGCTGGACAAATGAGATGGTGTGCTGATCGAGAGCAGTTCCTTCACATGTAAAACCGAATAATTCGACCAACATAATTTTCTTTATTTATGTATGTAGAGGGAGACAAAGTGGCAGTATGCAAGCGCAAGTCCTTTTTTTATTGAAAGCCATGATGAATAAATCCACAACATAACCAAACAATAAGAACACTCACTAACAAAATACTATAATGGAAAGGAAACAAGACTAAAGAACATTAAGAGGATTAGAAAACAAACAGGAGATAACGAAAACACAAAACACCAAGCAAACACAAAGCACATATTAACACATTTGAATACTCATGGAACAAACCAGAAACACCTGGGACTAGAAGGAGGGCTGGGCTACAGACAACAGACAAGTGAGACAGATGACAATAAGGCAGGACCAGGGAGGAGACACAGACCAGAAGAACAACCAAAGCACATAGCAAGACACACAAAGAAAGATAAATAAAGGCAGCCACAGACAGAAACAAGGAAAGAAAAAGCAGAATAAGACAGAATTACAGGTTACAATGTACTTATATGTTAAAGTTACTAATACAAATCTAATAGCACATTCATATTTATAGTTTAACCCTTAGCCACTTGGATAAATCTAGTTAAAATAGATGAGGATGTTCTTAATCTGGCCAACTGTGGTTCTGCCCTTTGACTCATACTCATTATAAATTTCAAATATAATATGATGTGGTAGACAGCGACAGCAACAATGACTTTTTTGAAAATAAATATTCCAGGACCTGACTGTGTCCTGGTCAGTAAAGTAATCTACTAAATTTATAATTTCTACCATTATTGAAGTTAGTCACATGCTTTATATTATAAATATTCATGATTACTTTGCAGCAAGATTTCACCCAATAAATGTTAAGCCATAAGAAAAACAACAGCTTGTGCTAAGTGGTGGACAGAGGAGCTAATTAGCGCAATTAAGCAGGCTAATATCTTAGCTCACCACAAAACATCTTAAATTATGTCACTTCAACATCAGCCACTTGACTCCACTTGCTTCAATTTGAGTCTTCATCCTCTAAAATTGCAGATATTGAGCCCATGTTGTGGTGTAAAGATGTTTTAGCATGCTTGCTAAGTTAACGCTAGCTTCTGGTGCTAAAGAGGACAGTACAGTGGAGCAGAGAGGCTAAGCTAACAGCTCCATTTACAAAAACATAGTTTCACTCCTTCCAATTTTAATTTTCATCCTCTAAGCCCTGCTAGAAAAAACAGCATTGCGTTTTTCCATGTGTTAATGAAGCTTCAGTGAGTGAATTGAGCCCATGCAGTGGTGTCTGGTAGCGGTACTAGTGCCACTGGCTACTAGAACAGTTCTAGACCATATCTGACAGTTTATAGGACAAATCTCTGTTACATCACAGCAGCTAAGAACTTACATCTGGGTGGATAACGGCACACCTTTGCACTGATAGAACAGGATTTTGTACTAATTCAGAAACTTATTTAGCCAAGATACTGGACAAATTAAAAGTTTCTAAACTTTCAGGTCAATAACTTCACAAATTTGTGTGGTTAATTTTTATCACATAATCATGAACTTACAGCAGCCACTGCAGTAATTTGCATTCATTAGGGTGTTTTCCTACAGCATAAGGAAATAAAAAATATATAGACAATACATTGCAATTCATACAAAAATACATTCCAAACACTAAAATGTATCTCAGAATATATCGCTATATTAACCTAATATATTTTAAAATGCACTTTTTTAATGTATGGGGAAATATTTCACATAGAAATACACCATACAAAAATAAATGTGTGTAAATGTGTTTATGAAATACATTTGAAAATGTATGAAAACAGCCAAAATCCTGTCTAATGCACTTTTACTGTTTGATACCTTTTGAAATGAATTTGTATTCCAGTATCTGAATTTTAAATATTAGCAAATGAACAAAAGAAAAAACTTAACATGACAAAAGTGAGTGTTGTAGGTATTGATACTCTGTGAAAATGCAGTTATGATTTGATATCTTGTTTATTTGAAATACATTGTGTATGATTGTCTTACTGCATATGTACATGGTTAATGTAAAGTATGATGCAGATCACAGAGGTCAGTACAGTTTAGTTAGTATAATAACAAATGCAAAGAAATGCATTTTAAAAATGTATTTAACAAATACATTTGCATTGTCATTTTCCATATGGAGGCTATACATTAGCATCAACAACTGACCCAAACTTGAACCAAACTTCTAGCAGTTCTAGTTCTTTTACCACCTGATTGAGAGACAATTTACAATAATCATGATATACAATTAAATTGGAATTTTGGTCATTTTATGTAACTAAAAGCAGTTTGACTAATAGCTTTGCTGGCTAGTCAGCTTAACTTATTAGTTGACATGAAACAATGCACTGCAAAATCAGGAAAAGAATCAAACAAAGCTTCAGTTTTTCTCTACTAAGTATGAAAATATGAGCAAAACCACTTGTTTTATGGAGGCTAGCATAAGTACTAATAGACCTCTTAACTAGCTTATCGAACCATATACAAAGTAATCATTCTACAAATAGTGATCAACACATTAACGTAGCATCCTACTTTACATTCTGCTGCTCTTACTGGTGAGATAATAATGCTATATCAACTTCATCTTCATCTGGAACAGTAAAGAATTCGCTAAATTGTTGTTACCATAGATATACATACCTAGGTGCTGCGTTGTCTGTTGTTCTCTATTTGAGGCGATGCACATCCGCCATGTTGGAGCAGTCAAGATCCACTTGTGAACAAATTCACTTGTATTGAGAGTCGAAGAGTCTCAGGATCAAATCGGCCACAATTTCCTTATAACTCAACCGATTTTCACCCACTTTGTTTTGTTATAATCCTCAGACATAGATTAATCTAGGTTGCACGGACTGCTCTCGGTAGCTTTTATTTCTTTATTGGCGCAAGTATAAACGCAATCTCACCCACATCAGCAAATCCATCAATGTTTGAATCACTTCTAAATAACCCCCCAAATCACAGTAAGAAGCTAAAGTTGGCTTCCTATTCGCCAGCTTCTTGTATGAATTTTCCCATTCCACCTTAAATGGTGCAGCAGTCACTTTTCCGAACAAGAAGCTGGCTGATGCACCATTTAAGGTGGAACAGGAAAATTCAAACAAGAAGTTGGCAAATAAGAAGCTGACTTCAGCTTCGTGTAAGAAGGTTGTAATGTTAATCTATTATGAATATCTACACAGATTAAGGAATGATATAACTTACTTAGCTACAAAGCATTAACAATCATTATAAATAAATAACTACCACATAAGGTTATGAATAGACTATTAAATGAAATAAGCCTAATATAAAACCAGAGGAAAACAATCACATCAACAGTTCTCTGTGCCGCACCAACCACACGACAATATCTACACATAAACATCACACAAATAATACGCATAACGCAAACAGGAGTGTGGATCACTGCATTTCCTCCGTTATATAATCCTATCCCACTTTCTGAGTGCAATATTCTTGAAATAGTGTAATTTTGGACAGTATCTTTCTTAAACTGCCGCTCTATAATGGTACTGAATGCAATCCACCAGCGATGTTGACCGCCCCAGAATGGTGGCGCTGTTGACGTGCCTGGCTCGACCCAACGCGGCATCTAGGTACATATATCTATAGTCGTTACCTTCAGAGTGTTAGCAAACATCCTCAGTGGGGTGAATACTGCTTATAGTCTTCAGTGGGGTGAATACTGCTTACTGCTTACAATACTCTATTTACATTAAAAATATACAGATAAATGGACATAAAGTAAAAAGGAGGTTTGAACGTCTATAAAAAGTTACTGTAGTTATAAAATGACTGGTCTTTTCTGTGGGACTGAATTGCTTTTTTGAAAGTTTAGTATTTTAGTGTATGTGGGGAGTCACCATCACTGTAAACAATTCTGACTCTGTAAGTTTCTCTAGAATGGAGCATTTCACACCAAACCACTGGACTAACACTGAGTTTAAACAGTTGAACATTGCTTGAACAGTCAGAGATGAATTGTGCCAAAGTGCCAAATGAAGTGATCGTCAGTGGAGCGGATTGTTCAGACTGTTCTGGCTAACTTAGCACACCGTGAGGAGGTTGGGGTGACCTTATTTTGCAATGGTAAAGTGGACTTTTGTGGACAGTGGAGGTCTAAAATATTAATAAGGTGTGTCAAAAGTAACTGTTTATCTGTTTTATTCTGTGCAAACCTGCCTACTCGCTCATTGTAATGTGTTAATGCTAGCCAGCTAGCCAGCGAGGACAAGCTATTCTGTTAAGAATGGTGTGTCTTGCTTGTTTACAACTTTACAGAAAGAAAATGTACCGAGGGACCAGACATTGCATACTTGGGTACATTTGACATTACAGCCTCAAACACAACATGATTTTACTGTTATTGCTAATGTATTGTCTGTTATATATGTATTTACTGTAAACTAAGCTGCCTCCACGCTGACTGAATGTGAGTTATCCACTCAGCTATACAGCCAACATTCAACACTGATCTGGTCTGTTAGATAGATGTGCACAAACCTCTCACTTTAGGGCTTTTAGCATTTAATTTAAGAAAAAGGTCCAAAATGAGAAAAACAAAGTGTAACAAACTTCACCTCCTATACAGTTTATGATTCACCAGCTCCTTTTCCTAATTTTTGTTTCTGCATAATATAACTGCTGCACCATTTAAGCATTAAGCATAAAATTCTAACAATAAGCCAGTTTCAGCCTCGTAGCTCCAATGCCGATAGAGGCTGGATGATCTACTAAGCTCTATTCCTGGTATACACTCACAAAAGATGGTTCTTCAAGGGTCTTAATTAAAGAAAGTGGTTCTTTGCATGATTAACCACTTAACTGGCCAAGGCCCACCAGCAGGCCCAACATTTTATTACACATATTTATAACCTAAGAATAGCTCAACCACTTTTGCATTGAAGTCCCTGTAGTTACTCAATAATAAGCCTGGGATTTTAAGGAGTTAAATGGTTCTCTGCATGGTGAAATGATTAATGTGCTGTATATGGTTCTACATAGAACCTTTTTAAAAAAGGGTTCTATAAAGCACCATCTGCAGCACATTCTCAATCAATCTGAAAGACCATTTCATCATCCAAAGAATCTTTCAGTGTTCATGATTCTATATAGAACCACCTTCTTTACTAAAGAACCCTTGAACAAACATCTTGTGATACTGCACACATCTCTGCAAGTGCACATTTCATCCAGAGCAGCACCTTCCAGTAACAGCACTGACAGAAACTTCCTGTTTAATGTGTTTAACCTTTAAACTCTTGCTGTGCTTCAGCACCTGTAACGCTTCACACAGGCCACAGCGTGCTGGATTAAATGTTTAAACTGCCTGAACAGCGTTCTCACTCTCCAGGTGGAACATTAACTATTCAGGTGCACCGCTGTAAAACAGATCTAATCCAATATAATACCAGAAATTCAGCACAAACACTAAACTAATAATTAAATACACTATAATTATTCCCTCAATAGATTAAACCCAGTGCTGACAGTCAGTCTGAACTTACATATGCAGAGCTATGTATAGTTATGTACAGTTACATATAGTTGTTTAAAGGTACATAGTTATACACTGTATACCGTTACTGTCAGAATAAAACTTTGTATCTCCAAAAAGTTGATGTGAAAAGGAACAGCATTCATTCATTTATTCATTGACTCATTCAAGCATTCACTTATTTCGATCATTCATTAATTCATTCATTCATTCATTTATTCATTGACTCATTTATACATTCACTTATTCATTATTCATTAATTCATTCACTCATTCATTTATTCATGTTCATGGTCCTTGTTAAAACAAATTACCTCTAACTAACTGACGTGCAGACGAGGAATTTTATACTTTAACAAGTTTTTCACCTTCAGACAAATTTATCAGTTTTAGGGATTTTGATTCGTTCTAGATGGTTTCAGAGTAGAATATGCATTACAGAATATGCATTATAATAATAACCTATAGGCAATAGGTTAGTACTGGTCACATTTCTTTGAGTAAATTTATAGAAATTGGATCTAATTTCGTCACTAGTTTTTATATAACAGCTGTTATAGTGTAAGGGGAGGGGTCACGCCAAATGTGGCTCAAGTGCGTCATCAAGCCCTGACGATAAAAAGTTTAAATCCACACTTCAGTACTACGTAATTCCCAGTCTTTTCACATTTTCAGCAGTTATTTACATTGTGTTTAGAATCGAGTCTCTGAATTTACTTTTAATCGTTGCTTTTGATTTCAAGTGATGTTGACCTTCTGATTTCATTTGACTTTTGCTCTTTTTTGGTCTTTCAGGCTCAGAAAAAAACAGAGAAACTTATTTCTGTGAGAACATCTTTCATTTATTTATTTATTTTATTTACGTGTTTTTTCAGCCACGTAGTGGGCGTCGTCCCAGATCTCTGTTATTAAACACACGTGGGGGAATCGCACGATCTGATTGGCCGAAGAGAGCGGAGCGCCAGTATTTTATTCCCCACCTATATTCAGACAAACCTCAGCCGTGCTGCGCTGTCATTGGCCACTAGCGCCCCTCCCCCTCGCTGCGATTGGCTAGGTGTTTATTCAGGGCGGGCTGCTTGCGGCTATGAACTACTGGCCAATCACAGCGCGGGAGGGCGTGTCCAACTGGAAAAAAGGTGGAAAATAAAACAGCGCCACTCAGTCGTGTGTTGTAGCCAAACACAGAGAGAGAGAAAGAGAGAGAGAGAGAGAGAGAGCGAGAGCGAGAGCGCGCGAGCCAGCACCGGATTAACTCTCTTTCAGGATTATTTGCAAATTAACGCACCATTAAAAGAATAAAAAAACAGAAATGCATGTGGAGCGTGCGCGGAGCTCCTGCACGCCTCCTCCTCCTCCTCCGTCCACTTCTCCGCCTTCACTACTACTTTACTGACGTTGCCCATCTGATCTCTGCACGTTGCTGCTGGACATGGGCTCCAAACTGAGCAGACAGAGCAGTCTGGATGGAGAAGCGGCGTTCTTTAGAAGACCCCGCCAGCAAGGAGGGTCTGGAGACGGCCAGAGGAGCGAGGCTGGAGGAGCGGGAGACGCAGGAGCTGGAACTGGAGCTGGTGCTGGAGGAGAGTTTTTGCTCACTTCCTTCATGCTCAGGTCAGAGAAGCTGCCCAGCGTCCTGCGCAGGTCCAGCAGGTCCAGCCCCAGCCCGTACCAGAGGAGGGTCGCCTGGGTCCGGCAGATCCAGAAGCTGCTGAAGGAGCAGAAAGTGGAGGAGGCTGCAGACGTGCTGAAACTGCTCAGAAAGGTAAAGAAGAACCAGGAACTTAAAGGGGAAGTCCACTGACTTTACAAATTTCCTACATAATTAAGTGTGTGAGATGTAAACAGAGTGAATCAGAGTGGGTTGGTGTGAAAGGGTTCAGATTTCTTTACAGTGCTGGTGATAGGAACCAGGCGTCACCATTACTACAACACAAATATAGACATTTTATTTACTATCCAAAACCACCAGTGAACCTACACGAGTCTTCTGAGGTTTATATGGAATGTTGATGATGGGAAAATAGTGGAAAATCTGAAACAATATGTTTTCTGCATGTATCCCTCCACCTTTAATGGATTTTAAGTTCTCAAAACTATCCTAAACAATGTCTCAGATATCAGGCAGTGAATTCATAACCATAATTAATTAATATGATAACTTTCTGTGAGGGATCTTTTAGAGGTGGATGTCTGGTTCCTATCACCACTATGAACAATTCTGACTCTGTAAGTTTCTCTAGAACAGAGCATTTCACACCAAACCACTCTGAATGACTCTGTTTACATTTTAACTAGGGCTGAACGATTTATGGAAAATATCTACTCGTGATTTTTCTGACTGCAATTTAAATTGCAACTATTTAGTATAATTTAAAGATCAGATTTTTTTAGCCAAGAAGTTCAGAATATCCACTTTTTCTGGCTTGAGGCTTGACCCCTGAATGTATTGTGCCTGACTGCCAGTTGTGATGTCACAAAAAATGGAGGTTTGGTTAAGTCTGATTGGTCTATCTTATCTACAGGCAGTGCACAAGCTCTAGGAAATTACATTAAATTTTCACTCTTAAAACCTAAGACAGTGTTGTTCAAAATGTAGACTATAATTTTTATAGTTATTTTATAACTTTTAAAAATAACAGCTATTGCTATTTGATAATTGTGCTTCTTTAAATTGCAATTTCGATATAAAAACTTTTCATCTTTCAGCTCTAATTGTAACCATTTATTTTGCAGACATTTTGAGATATTGGTGGAATTCCACTTTGAGACAGTGGCTTCCAAGCCTTGAGCATTTCTTAGTTAACTGGATAACTTAATTCAGAAGTGAGGATTGTCCAGTAATAGTGTCCCTCAGCTCCTCTCCTACTGAAGAAACTTCTGGCTTAAGTTTTCTGGCTTTTGCTTCTGTTAAACTCTCTTTTGTGAAATACTTCCTGCTTCTGTCATTTATTTGTCATGTTCGGCCCTGTTTGTGTACATGTTTTTGTTCATGGGCTCTGTAAAGCTGCCTAGAAGTATACGAAAAATAATTATTATTATGATTATTATGATTATTATTAGAGATTTCATATCAGTGTTGATGGGTATGGGGCGAATAAGAGCAGTAAATGTTTGTTGGGATATCAGAGGGAAAACAAAGAGAATCCTTTACAGAATGAGTGAGTAGTTTAGCATTATAGACTTTTACAGCAGCATAACAGGTCCTTCAATTAAAAACGCTCTTAAAAATTAAATTAAAAAGCTCTTTTTAAAGCACAGCAGTTTTTAAAGAAGAAATATCCAATAGTCAAGATTTTGATATCGATATCGGATGGTATTCAAGGTTTTGCACAACATTCAAGTATCAGTATAGGAAAATTCATAAGGTTTCAATATCGGTATTTGCTGATACCCAAGCTTTCAATATCTGTATTGGACAATACTTAAGGTTCAATATCAATATTGGACAATACTCAAGATTTCAATATCGGTATTTGCTGATATGAAAGTTTTCAATATCTGATTTGGACAGTACTTAAGAGGTCAATATCAGTATCGCAATCAGCTGATACTCAGTGTTTCAGTATCTATATTGGACAATACTTAAGGTGTCAGTATCAGTATAGCTATCAGCCAGTACTCAAGGTATCAGTATTTGTATCAGACAACACTTAAGGTTTTGATATTAGTGTTGCTATCAGCTGATACTCAAAGTTTCAGTACCGGTATCAGACAATATTTAAGGTTTCAGTATCGGTATCAGACAATACTTGAGGTTTTAGTATCAGTATCAGACAGTACTTAAGGTTTCAGTATTGGTTTCAGACGATATATAAGGTTTCACTATCTGTATCAGACAATACTTAAGGTTTCAGTATCTGTATCAGACAATACTTAAGGTTTCAGTATTACTATCGGTATCAGACAATACTTAAGGTTTCAGTATTGGTATCAAACAATACTTGAGGTTTTAGTATCGGTATCAGACAATACTTAAGGTTCCAGTATCAGACGATACTTAAGGTTTCACCATTGGTATCAGACAATACTTAAGGTTTCATTATTTGTATTGGTATCAGACAATACTTGAGGTTTTAGTATGGGTATCAGACAGTACTTAAGGTTTCAGTATCGATATCAGACAATACTTAAGGTTTCAGTATCGGTATCAGACAATACTTAAGGTTTCAGTATTAGTATCGGTATCAGACAATATTTAAGGTTTCGGTATTAGTATCGGTATCAGACAATACTTAAGGTTTCAATATCAGTATCACTATCAGCCGATACTCAAGGTTTCAGTATTATATTTACTGATGTTTGAGTTTTCAGAATCGGTTTTGCTATCAGTCGGTGCTGAAGGTTGCAATGTCAGTATCAATATTGTTGTTGCTATCAGCCGGTATTTAATGTTTTCATGTCTCCATCGGACAAAATCCATTTTCAATATCAGTATCGACTTATACTTAAGGTTTCAGTATCAGTATCGGTATCAGAAAAGGAAAAAGTGATATTGCACCCTCTCTTCTTATTATCATTGTTAGAATCGCCCTGTCCTACATAGTTTGTTTTTTTCCGGCTCAAGATTTGATTAATCAGCTCATTAACAAGCCCTCCTGGATTTAGATCAGGTGAACTGGATCACCAGAATAAGCTCAAATATTCGGAACAGGGGGCTCGAAGCGCAGGATTAGGAAACACTAAAGCCCAGACTCAAGTTTCATCCCACAGGAGAAGATCAAAGGTCTTTCCTATCGGAAAGTTTGGGCTTGACTTATCCAGCTAAACTGAGAAATCCTGCTGAAATATCTGAAAATATCAGCCAGCCTAGTAGTTCTTAATAATAAACATGCCAAAGGGAACCAAAAAAGGGTCCTTTCAGGGAGTGATGCCATTGAACAACCACTACTGATTCTTGAAGAATCTCCCAGTGATTCTTTAAAGAACCATTTTGTGAAGGATGTAATATATTAATATTCATGTAAATAATGTTCTGTATCAAATAAAGTCCTTTCTTACAATTGTACATCAAAGCCAAGAACCATTTAGAAACCTGTTTTCACGAATGTAGTGAACTGTTAGAGTGTAGAATCCATTGTTTTATGATCTAGTGCACTATTTACAAGGCTTCACTCCGTCCAGCGGGCAAGTGGGACTAACAGCACAGTGCATGCATGGGTTAACCAGCGCTTCACAGAGGGGTCTAACTTGAAGCCTGGAGGGCAACATCACAGCCCTAGTGAGGGTCCAGTATGGTGGGCACTGTTTGCAACCACACTAGGAATAAATGACAAGTGTATTATGCTGTCGGCAGAAAATAAATCAAAATAAATGTAAATCCTTTTTATTCAACACACCAGCAGAAAGGCACCCAAGACTACTGAAACCATGGGGGAGGTCACAATGAGTCATACACATTAGCCTGACGGTGACCAACCCCCCAACCCAAAACACCTACACAGATGAACATCATAAACACAGACCTTTTAACTGGCAGACAGTGACATAAACAACAAAAACAGTCCCTTTGTCAGAGGGTGTGTGCATACCTTTAACCTTTGGGTGTGGTCATCTGCATAGCCATGCCTCCAGAGTCTATCAGAGCCAGGACCAGCTAGTAGCAGGCCGCCATGCTGTGCTATATGCAGTTCAGTTTTTTAAAGAGAAGAAATGTTTATGTTGGTCTGTTTTAGATTAATTCATACAAGGACTTTAATGTTGAAGAGCCTGAATGGGGGGGGGTTGGTGGGTTTTCTGGAGTAGAGGAAAGGGCTGTGTTTTTAGCTGTTAGCACTGGAGTGGCGGTTTTTCTTATTGCAGTGTTTGCCGCTGTTTTCAAAGCTGCGCTATGGACCGAAACCTCAAGTTTTCTAAGTTTCTTCTGAGAATCCTGAATGGTACATTATTTTGCAGTTCATTTTTATTGATAGGCTACATTTAGCTAAAAAAAAAACACGATTATTTGAAACCCAGAATTAAAAACCAAATACCTACCCATTGAACGAATAGTCGAATATTCAGGTTCAGCCCTAATAATGATCCTGGACACTGTATGTTCATCACATTGTTGTTAACGTTGTTGGTTTTTGTTCTTTGTGGAGCTTCTGAGGGCTTCTTGTTGGGGTTTGAGGGTTGGAAGCTTTGGATTTGGTGGTTTGAACACTTTAGTTGGTGCTCAGTAGTTGGTACAGAGTGACAGCATTTCATGTGCGAAATACCCCCTGGTGTTCAGGGGGTCCCATGTTGGCTCACTAATCCAGCTCTCACTCACCATAACAGTGCTGAGGCTAGCTTTAATTCACTCTTTCCACCAGTTTCTTGGGAAAGTGGGCGAGTTTTCACATTTACAGATGTGTTACGGCACATTCTAAAGTTTTTCAGAGGAATCTGGGCAGAGTTACAGTTTCTAGACTTTGAAGGACCAACTGGGTCTGCTACAGCGTCACCCTGAGGCAGAGCAGTGCAGCAGCTCCGGTTAGTTAAGAACACCAAAGAGAGAAGCTGATTGTGGGTGAAGCAGATAAACAATGAGCTTCACTGAATCTGGATTTGAGCCACTATTTTTCTCTAACGAACAGCCTGAAGTCATAAGATTATCTTCAGGGAATTTTGATTTTGAGACATTCAGGGGGTCCTAGAGGTTAATTAGTCCCAGACCCCACAGGACCCTGTATTTTGCACCTCGACAGTCAGAACTGTAGATCAATAGGAATGCTGCTGTCTCAGTTGTATCTGCGGTGCAGTGTTTGTTGTTTATTTGTGTACACTTGCCATGGATTATTT